TACTTTAAACTTCTTTGGGCATGGTGGCAACTTCTAGGTACAAGTCACAGAAAGCTATCTTCTTTCTGTGACCTAGCCTTAGATGTCACATGTTATTCCACCTGTCACACTCCCTCATCTGAATGTGTAGCTACATGTATGTATGTGTGTGTGTACACAGAAGTAGTATTAACTGTTACCTTGTAACAAATGACCCAGAAAGCAATAGCTTAAGACCATAACTGTTTATCTTAAATAATTTCTAAACCTTTTTATTACAATTATTTATTTATGTATTTACTTCTATGTCTATGCACATGCATGCCACCTCACATGTGTGGAGGAGACAGGACAACTTGCAGGAGCCAGTTCTCTTCTTGAAAGTTTTCTGTACCCTGATATCAAGTCTCTCTGCCAACACAGTAAACCAAATCAAGCCGAATTAAAAAAGGAAGGGACCAGGTTTAATCTGAGCAAAGCATTCCCGGGTGACTCTTGGGAAAGGGAGCAGGAGAGAAATTACATGGCCATTCTAAAGGGGTAGTTTAACTACCCTGTAGGGGCATGGGGTGATGGCATGCCTCAAGGTGGGTTCATGCTGTTGAAAGCTTTTGGGTGGCATATTGGAGCACCACTGCCCAGAACTGGGCTTGCCCTGGTTTCTCTGAAAGGGCAGGGTTTGGGAGGCAGGAATGGGGTTTTCTCATCTGGGGTGAGCTGTTCTAGGTGAACACTTCTGTCATGTAGGGCCTAGAGACTGAACTTGGGCTGTAAAGCTAGGTGGCAAATATCCTTACCTGTTAAACTATCTTACCTACCTCTTTGTGTTTTTCTCTTCCCCTTCCTTCCTTCCTTCTTCCCTCCCTCCTCTCTTTCTTTCTCTCCCTCCCCCCCCCTCTGTGTGTGTGTGTGTATGTGTTTGTGTGTGCCCCAAACTTGGAGTTACATTAGGTTGTGGTGTACCATGTGGGTACTACAAACCAAACCTGGGACCTCTGTGAGAGAAGCAAGTGTTCTTTTTGTTTGTTTAGATTTCTGTTTGTTTGTTTTTAGAGACAGGATTTCTGTGTAGCCCTTGCTGTCCTAGAATTCACTCTGTAGAGCAGGCTGGTCTGGAACTCACAGAAATCAGCCTGGCTTTGCCTTACGAGTACTAGGATTAAAGGCATGAATCACCACCCAGACAAGAAACAAGTGCTTTGTTGTTGTTGTTTTGTTTTTTGATTTATTTATTTTATGTATCTGAGTGTTCTATCTGTATGTACACCTTTATGCCAGAAGAGGGCATCAGATCTCACTGTAGGTGGTTGTGAGCCACCATGTGGTTGCTGGGACCTCTGGAAGAGCAGTCAGTGCTTTTAACCTCTAAGCCATATCTCCAGCCCACTCGAATGTCTCAAGGCCAGAAATCTGAGTTGAGACAATCTGGTTCTGGGCCCCTCGTGAAATTGGGAGTGGGATGTCTGTGCTAAACTGAAGGTTTAATGGGGAGCTTCTTTGAAGGCAGAGACTGGAGGAGCTTCCTCCAAGCTCATACATGAGCCTGGGTGTCTTAGTTAGCAACTTTTTTATTACTGTGAAGAGACACCATGACCACATGCTTCACTCATTCACAATGAGCAACTCTTTTGTTGTTGGGTTTTTTCTGGGGGCGGGTATTTTTTGAGACCAGGGTTTCTCTGTGTAACTCCTTGCTGTCCTGGAACTTGCTTTGTAGACCAGGCTTGCCTTGAACTCACAGAGATCTTCTTGTCTTTCCCTTCCGAGTGCTGGGATTAAAAGCGTGTGCCACCACCACCTGGCAGACCATGGCAACTCTTACAAAGAAAACATTTAATTGAGGTGGCGGCTTACAGTTTCAGAAGTTCAGTCCATCGTCCTCATGACGGGGAACATGGAGGCATGCAGGCAGACGTGGTGCTAGCTACATCTTGGCCAGAAGACAGCAGGAAGTTGACTGGCTATCTCAATGAGTGAAGCTTGAGAAAAGAGATCTCAAAGCCCCCCTTCCCGAGTGACACACTTACTCCAACAAGACCACACCTACTCCAACAAGGCCACATCTCTTAATAGTGCTAGTTCCTTTGGGGGCCATTTTCTTTCAAACCACTACAATGGGCAAGGACATACCTCATCAGGCGAAAATCTCCACGGACTACTCAGACACAGCAGCGGGTTTTACCCAGAGTTGGTAATCCAAGAGAGACAGTGAAATGCCTTTTCTAGTCTACTATCAGGGATGGTAGTCCACCTGATGCAACCTGTATACAGACCTATTCCAGGCCAGTACAGGAGGACTGCGTCTGAGGATGTGAACACTCTGGAAGGTGTTCATACAGATGAACACAGTTGGTCATACAGATATGGTCATTCACATCTCCCTTCCTCCATGCAATCTCTAGCCAAACGTGCAGCCCCACACTCAGCATCCAGCATGCAGGCAATCTCAGCGGGACTCTGTGTGAAGTGACTACTGGTCATCCATGGCCAGTTTCCCTCCATTCTTTTGTATGAACAGTTCTGAGACCCCTGCAGTTGAATGGTCTGTGGCTGGACAGTTGAAGAGATCTGTGTCAGTGTCAGAAGGAGCAAATGGCATGGTCCTGATGTTCCATCTGTCTCTTTCCTAAAGTAACATCCTGGGAACCCTGACTAGCCAGCCAACAATGCTCCAGAAGGTGCAGCTGTGTGAGGGAGCAGTGTCCCAGAGCACCTGATCCAGAGCCAAGGCCATATGGAGCCATTAGTCCCCATGGGAGAGAAGCAGTGGGCATGCAAAGTCTTGAGCGAAGCAGGAACCGTCACCGCAGCTGACTTGAGCTATACTGAACTTCATTTTACTAAAAATAGCCTGGGCTAGCCCCAAGTTGCAGATGGGTAAGAGGAGACATTCAATGGCCCAAAGACTAGCCCCAAGACCCCAGAACAAGTAAATGGCGAACCAAGTTTCGAATGTGAGTTCTTTGTTTACTGGTTCAGGAAGATGTATGAATTGTGGTAAATGCCATGGGGACATGAATCAGTTGAGTTTAACCTGGCATTTAGTGAGCAAACCAATAGAACTCTCCGAGTCTTGGTTTTCTCAGCCTGCTACACTTTGAGCTCACACCCAACAAGTTCATGTGTCAGGAGCCTAGTGTGGCAATGTTAAAGGTGACATCTAAAGGAAGTATCTCAGGTCACTGGGGCCACCCTAGAACGATCCAGGTAGTTCTTAGAGGACGCCTGAGTTAATTGTTACAAGACCCTTGTTATAAAAGATCAAACCGCACCACACCCTGGCTTCTCTTTGGATTCCTGTCTGGCTGTGTGATGTCTTTTTTCTATACATGTTCTGCTAAGATAGGGCACCTCCTGGCCCACCTCATCAGTCACAAGATCCTCACAACTAAGATGATACTGGGACCATACCCTTGAATCTCCAGAGCTGTGAGTTAAATGAACATCTTTTCTTTAGAATGTTACCTAGACTGGAGTAATATTTGAGTGATTAGAAAAACAACAAAACAAAACAAAACCAAAAAAAACTAAGTTAGACAGGGTTACTTTCTGCAAAGAGTTGTGAGGATTACTGAGGAATCACAAATCATCAGCTGACATGGCTACCATAATCTTTCTATTGTCACTGCCCTTTCCCTTACAGCAACGCTTGTGAGCAGTTAACTGGGAGTGTTCCAATCTTTTTCATTCCCTTGTCGGCTGAGGCATTCCACAAGGCATTGTTCCAACTCACTCCAAAGCTCTAAAACTACACGTTCCTGGCTTCTCTTGGTGGCATCTGGAGGCAACTTTTCCCTTAGGAAACATAACACATTCTCTAGTTTTCTGCTGTTAGTCTTTCTCTGCCCAATACATTGTTCTTGGCATTCACTCCTCACAAGCTCCGCTAGCCTGATGACAGGACGAAGCACTGTTGACTCAGTCAGCAGAAACAAAACAAAGCAGGTTCCCTCTCTGCCAGGATCCAAGACCTTGGTACAAGAGAAAACATCCAAGGCAAACAAAGCTTGGCCTGCCGAGGTCGGGCAGGACCTCCACTGAGGGAACTGGCTTTTCTTTAGCTCTTCGGTGTGGTGGAAACTCAGAAAGGGAAAAGCCAAGTAAACAGAGACACAGCAGCATAACAAAATCTCCACAGTCGCCAAAAGGGAGGTGAGGCTGTCAGAGCACTGGCCCAGATCAAGGATGACATAGCCCCACAGCAGAGAATCCAGGAGAGCACAGTCCTGATCTATGTATGTCTATATCTAGAAACATACACTGACCTCTGGGTGAAAAGGAAAACATGACAGAACTCACCCGGATCATTAACTCTGACATCTCTTACATAAGACTGGATGGTCGTGGGGACTCTGTTATCCTCTACATTATCTGGATTTATTTCATTGAAGCTGCTACTTGTTATTTAAATTCTCCCATTAATACACAAAAATAAGCTTTTTGCCCCAGGAAAGTGGACAGTTCTAGTAATCCATCACAGACTGCGTGCCACGTCATATACTCACATGCTCCCGATATGTCTAAGAGGAAGACATGATTGGCCCTATTTTAAAAATTCGTGCGTGTTGGCATGTTCAAATGTGGGCACACACTCATGCCCTGGAGCGCATGAAGGTTGTTGGACAATCTGAGGTGTCGGTCCGCCCCTTGTATCCTGTTTGAGGCAGGGTCTGTTGTCTGCAGCTGCACAAGCCAAGTAGCTGGCCCATGAGCTTCCGTAGATTCTCCTGTCTCCACTTCACATCTCACCTCAGGAGGGCTGGGGTTACAGACACGTGCCACCAAGGGTTAGGGAGACCCTAGCAGGTTCTCACGCTTGCTCAGCAAGTGCTTTAGAAACTGAGCCAGCTCCTCAGCCCATCTCCGAATCACACGCAAGTCAAGGAACCCTCTGAGCCAAGGATCCAAGGTCCTCCAGCTGAGCGTGCAGCCAGCCCCTGCTGTGATCTGCATTGCGGGTGCACCCAGTGTGGTCTAACGGCCCTCCCATGAACACTGTGGCACAGTTTACCCTGCTTCACCTGTTTATCAAACTCAGGCTTCAGAGCTTCTTCAGTGAAGATGTGGAAGCGTAGCTTCCTGTGGCTGAAGAGCACGGCTGACTTGAGCATGACCAGCGTCTCCTCCAACCGGTTGCCACAGGCCACCACGGCCAGGTGAATCCAGAGCTCTGGTGGCACGGAGTGCAAACTTCTAACTTCCCCAGGCCTCCTGGAAAGAAGAAAAACAAGCTGAACTTAAAAAAAAAAAAAAAGCCCCACTGAATGGTTGGAACATTTCAAAACATGAACAGGCACAATCTGTTATGTTTTATAAAGTGATAAGCATTTTGACAATTCTTCCTGCTTGTAGAAAAATACCATTTATTCCCATATTTATCCTGGCCATAATGAGATGAGTCACTGTTTGGATGGCTATAGGTGTCTGGGAGTTTTTCTGCCAGCATTCAGCTGTCTACTGCCTGCTTGGCTGCCTACAGGCCTGTGTTTGGAAATATCATTTCCAAACTCCAACAGCTGACTGGGGGCTGTGGGGTTCCCACTAGCACAGGGCCATGGAAATTAGATTTAATGCAATTTGAACAAGAGAAGGGTGAGTTGTGGCTTTCCCATGTGAACCTCGAAATATGATACTCCCATCATCTGGAGGTTTTTAGGTTGCGGTGGAATGCGTGACTGTTGGATGGAAGGGGAGCCGTGCAATCGAGAGAGGTAAGGGAGGGGAAACAGCCTACATGCCCCCAGGCCCTGTGTCCCAGGGCGGTCTTGGAGAAACAGGTGTTAATCCTAACTGTCTGGCCAAGGAGGGGTGGGGTGGTGGGTATGAGACGCCTCTTAATGAGAAGCACACAGTGGGGAGGTGTGCAGACCTGCTCACACCAAGGTATCCAACGTTGAATGAACAGCTGGGAGGAGAAATGGGATCCAAGAGTCTAGGATCATCATCCAGCTATTTCCTAGGAATAAAGATTCGTCCCAGCCAGGGAGATGAGGCCAAGCCTCAAAAGCACCACTGAGAACCATTTGCAGGCAAGCTGGAAGAAGTTGGGCTGAAAAAGGTGCCCTGAGACAAATGAAAGCAATTTACTCGCACAAAAGATTTGGAGAGCAGGGGAACTTGGATGTCAAACGCCACCTTCCTTCCAAAAACCTTCCAGTTTGCTCTGCTAGCTGCCCCCGCCCCCTGCTCTGGCGAACTTGCAGGCTGGTTCCAGATTGCTTTCACCAAGAGGAAAGTTGAAGTTGCGGGTGGGGCATCCTGGACCATGGCCCAGTTTGATTACTTAAGAGCAAGCTTGGCAGAAGCATGGCCTGGTGGCTCAGCCCAGGCTAGATGCAGTCAGTTCTTGAATTTCATTAACTTTGGGAGTCACGAGGAAAGATGGTTATCTTTGCGAATCATCCATTTCTTGCCAGTCCTCCTATTCTTTTCAGGTGTGGCCACTGACTTCTCTCCCCTATCGCCATGACAACCCTCTGGGAGGTCTGTCCATCTCAGTTTTACCTTTAGTCCCCAACCCAATGTCCTCATTGGTGCTGGGTTGGGGTTGGGAATGCCTGCCTTCAAGATCAAGCACAAACTGCCAATTGGGAATCCTAACTACATCTCAACTGTCACCAATACAGCCTACCTGAATGGATTTCCTCATCATCACACTCAGTCACATTTCTGCTCCCATTCATGGTTTTATTTCAGTCCATGCAGTGTATTTCTAGGTGTACTGGCTGGTTTGGTATGTCAACTTGACACAAGCTAGAGTCATCTGAGAGGAAGGAGTCTTGGTTGAGGAAATGCCTCCATGAGATCCAGCTGTAAGGCCTCTTCTCAATTAGCAATCAATCGGAGAGGGCCCAGGCCATGGTGAGTGGTGCCATCCCTGGGCTTCACAAGGTGAGCTGAGCAAGCCAGGGGAAGCAAGCCATTAAGTAATATCCCTCCGTAGCCTCTGCATCAGCTCTTGCCTCCAGATCCCTGCCTTGTTTGAGTTCCTGCCCTGACTTCTTTCAGTGATGAACAGCAATGCTGAAGTGTAAGCCAAATAAACCCCTTCCTCCCCAACTTGCTTTTTGGTCATGGTGTTTTGTCATAGCAATAGAAACCCTGACTAAGACACTTGGGCTGGACACACAAACATTCCTTCAATTCACTCATTCTTACTTTCTCTCCAAAGTGTTCTTCTTTCTTTGATCTGTACTAACCACTGTCCATTCCTTTATGGACAAATCTTTACTAAAGGCCTATTATGTGAAAGAATATTCTAGAATAGAGGTGACCAAAACAAAGATGCAGAAGGCACCTTCTACAGAGGACAAGGGAAGAAGAGAAATAACACTAAAAAGGTGACAGGGCTCAGTTGTGAAGAGCTTGCTCTGAAAGTATGATGACCTCAATTTGATCCCCAGAACCTGTGCAAGAAAAGCCATGCATGGTGTTGCCCCCTTGTAATCCCAGCACTGGGAGGCAAGACAGGTGGTCCCTGGGCCTCAACAGCCAGCCAGCCTAACCCATTTGTCGAGTTCCATATGAGCAATAAACAGTCTCAGGAAAAAAAAAAATGTTAGATGGAGCCTAAGCAACAGCACCCAAGCTTGTCTTCTGGCATACAACACACACACACACACACACACACATGTCCCCATACATTCAGGAACACACACACTGGGGGAGGGACAATCCCTAAGTATCTTTCAGAAAAAGTCAGAAAGTAAGGGCTGAAGAGATGGAATTCTTCCAGCACCTACATAGCAGCTAACAACTGTCTGTAACTCCAAGATCTGACACCCTAACACAGACCTACATGCAGGCAGAACACCAATGCACACAAAATAATTTTTTCAAGTGAAAAGGGTTGTGAGGGAACACTGCTGACAGGGTGGAATTTCATCCGTGGTGGGGACTGTGAAGTGTGACACCAGGCAAGTGAAGACAGGCTTCCCTGACAAGAAATCCATCAGTGGCTTTGGGGAGTGGGGACAGAACATCTCCAGGGGACTGTGGCAGAGGAAAAACTAAATCAGGATGAGCTTGGAAACCATGAGGATCCCACCCCTTGGGACCCACTTGCTTGCTGGTCTTCCTATGTATAATTCATAGAGGTGTCACGCCCCCTATTAAAACCAATTCTCTCCAGGCATTGGTGGCGCACGCCTTTAATCCCAGCACTCGGGAGGCAGAGGCAGGTGGATCTCTGTGAGTTCGAGGCCAGCCTGGTCTCCAGAGCGAGTGCAGGACAGGCTCCAAAGTTACACAGAGAAACCCTGTCTCGAAAAACAACAACAACAACAAAATCTCAATTAGCTGACTTATGTAGTAAAGGCCTTGTGAACAACACTATGATGATGATTTAAACATGGTTAAGGCACCAGATAAAAGGCCCATAACACTCTGGGGCTTCTGAGATGTTTCTTTCAATAATAGTTTCTTGCAGCCACACCCAAGGACCTGAGTTTGAGTTCCTAGAACCACATGGTGCAAGGATTGAACCAACATCTAAACTCCTGCAAGCTGTCCTCTTATCACCGCACGTGTCATAATAAACACACACACACATACACACGCATGCACACGCATGCACACACACAATTATTAAAAATGCTACAAGACCCAATGTGAACAGTCGGTTGAAATTTGCCCTGTATTTAGGAACATGGGTGTGTTACAAAGGTGATGGCAAATGGGGCTGGAATATAGTTCGGTGTCTGGCATGCAAGAGACCTTCTAGTCCATCCTCAGAACTGAAATATGAATACCTCCCCCATCCCTGAACAGAAGGAGTCCATCATGCTCATCTTTACACATGGACAATGAGTCTGAGCCACAGTAAGCTGGGACATACAAATTTAAATGAATGATTTCAAATTTGTTGACTAGGAAAGATGACAAAATAAATAAAAGGACATCCCTGATGAGTTGCCCTCCCCCCCATGGATGGACAGGGAACAGACGTTCGGGTACAAAACAGTGGACATTGGCCCAAACTCTAAAGAGATACTTGGCAAGTTAACAGGTATGAGGATGGGCACACACACTGTTCTTCCACACCAACTCCTGTGTGAATAACCTGCAGAAACTCTTTTGTGTTTGCACAATCTCATGCAAGAGCATGAAGTACAGTTCTGTTTAAAAAATAAACCAATCACCATGCAAAGAAAATCACCAACATATATGCCACGGTGAGAGTGTGGAATGCCATAGAGCAGAATGGCATGCTCCAACATAAGGTCTAAGAGGAAATGAAGACCTTTGTAAGGGTTGCAATAGGATAATCACATTCAGATTTCAGAAAGAGTATTGCCATAGCACAATGCCATGGATTCCTGGGACTTTAAATGAACTCTAGGGCTTAAAGCACCAGGGTTACTAGTATCCATTTTCATACAAGATCCTTATTCTCTAATGTGTTTGGTCCTATTGAAACCTTTCAGTATCTAAAAATACTTCAATGTTAATACCCAGGAGAAAAGCCATTATATCGTGTGTCTGCAACATGATCAGTGTGGTACCACTTTATTTTTTGTTTTAAAATAAACCATTTTTGGCGGTGGTACATGTCTTTATTCCCAGCTCTCGGGAGACAGAGGCAGGTGGATCTCTGTGAGTTCAAGGCCAGCCTGGTCTACAAAGTGAGTTCCAAGCAGATAGGGCTGTTACACGGGGAAACCCTATCTCGAAAAACCAATAAATAAATAAATAAATAAATAAATAAATAAATAAACCAGTTTTGCCCTTAAATGAAAGAAATAAAGAGTGTTGTATCTTATTTAAAGATGTATATGGAGTAAAAGTAAATTATACCAACAAGAATGAAGACAATCCAATACAAGATGGTAGTTAGTTGTAGGAGCTGACTAAAGTTGTATTTCCTTCCTTTCACAGATGAATTTATTTTTATTTATGTGAATGTGTGTGTGTGTGTGGGGGGGTGTACACATGCCAGCAAAGGCCAGAAGAGAGTGTTGATGCATACACACACCCTCAAAGGTAGAACTATCTTTACGGTTCTGAGAGCTGCGTTTCTTAAGCTGAGTGTTGAGTGCACCGAAACCCCTCATTATCTGTATTTGTGGGTGTGCCTTCCAAACTGATAGGCAAATACTTTGTCCATTGAGAAAAGTATGTACAGCAGGGATGGACTCGGTGTTGAAGTGCTGGCCTAGAACACTCAGGGTCTCCCACCCCCAGCACCAAATCCAAAAGAAGGGAAGGAAAAACTCCACATCCCAAGGCAGAGAAAACCACCTCTTCCCTTCTCTGTAGGGTCTAGTGTTTTGGCCTGTGCAGTACAGAAAACAAGGGCTGGGTATGCATAATTCATGGTATCTGGTAACAGGTAATGAAAAGCCACTTCTGGTGCCAGGTCCAGCGCCAGTGGTTGGGATTTAATAAGACCTTCTCTGGCCCCACTGTTCCCTCTCATGTTACATTATAAACCTCAGGCTCTGGGTCACAGGCAGCCCTGGGTGCTGTCACATGAATAATGGAGCTTGGGGATGCTGCGATGGTGTGCCTTTCACCAGCTCCCACCTACAACACATTCAGGACCTCTCAAATGTCCCCTGAATCTGCAAGAATCTGAGGAACTCTGTCCAGGATATTGGAACCCCTCAGGGCTCTGGCTTGACCAGATGTAGGGTGGTAACTACACTCCGGCTTGTTTTATAAAAAGCAACTGGAGTAGACCTTTGTTGTTTGAAATTTAGGGTATTTTGTTGTATGTATGTGTGTGGGCATTTGCACAAGTGCACGTGCACAAAGGTGCCATGTTTGCAGATACATGTGCATACACATGTGAGCGTTGTGTGTGGAGGCCAGTGGACATCTTCACTGCTGTTCCTCTGGGACAGGGGCTGTCACTGGCCTGGGACTCACCTATTAGGTTGGGCTTACTGGCCAGGAGCTCAAGGATCTGCCTCCCAATGCTGAAATTATAGGTGTACTATATCACCATGCCTGTCCAGGGATTTGAACCCGGGTCCTCCTACTTATAAGGCAAGCACTTTACCAACTCTCTAGCCAGTTTTGTTTGTTTTTTGAGGTGAGGTCTCTTATTGCCCAGGCTGGCCCAGAACTCATTAAGTAACTGAGAGTAGTCTTGAACTCCTGATGCCCAATTGCTAGGACTGTAGACATGGCTACAACACTCTAACTTGATTCATCCTTTGAAATACCCACTGACTCACCTCTTTCCTCATCACCATCTCCCACAACCCTGAGTCACAACTCCCATCATGCCTCCAGCTGTGACTGGAAGAAATGACTTATACCAC